GATTACAGGTGTATGCCACCATGCCCAGCTACAATTTTAAAAAATAATAATAGTGAAGTGCTGAGAGTATAGCTAAGTGCAAAGGTTCTGGGTTCAACCCTTAGTACCACAAAACAAACAAAAATGAAAGAAAGTCTCTTTGCATTTTAAAACCTATTACCTCTTTATTATTTAAATTGATGATTTCCCAATTTGTCACTTAGTTTCAAACTTCATCAGTAGTGAGTTCTGTGTGTCTGTACCTGTGTCCATGCAAAAGTTTTAAAACATTTTGGGGATAGGCATTAGGAATTAGACTCAGGACCTCATGTATGCTAAATATACACTGCATAGTGAGTTCAGGGCCACACAGCAATACTGTCTCAAACAAAACAAAACAAAAATTAACTTCCCTTTCCCACTGAATCCCATACCTTTTACTCTGGGCTTTCGGTTGTGTTTCATTACATGTATGTTTTGTTTCTTGTGGGATGTTTTGCTTTTTGGAGACTAGCAGCTTTTTATTATGCCACAGAAGAGATTACCAATATGCCAAAAAAAAAAAAAAAAGCCATTCTTTTCACTAAGATTTTTTTGTTTCAGAACATTTATTTTCCATGTGTTATATATAAACATTTAATGGGTTTATTATTGTAGTTTTCTTTTTCTTTTTCTTTCTTTTTTGGTACGGGGGATCGAACTCACGACCTTGAGCTTGCCAGGAAAGTGCTTATGCCACTGAGCTAAATCACTGGCCCCATTACTGTGGTTTTCAAATAAATGAATAAATATTATTACATTTCTTGCTTTTATTGACAACACATAAATGCTGACCAATAAAATCCACATAGCGAAAAGCTCGTTGAGGGTTCTTTAACAATTTTTAAAATGGAAAGGACTCCTGAGAGTTGAGAACTACTGCTCCATGGATTCCTCAGGAAGTTTGTGGTTACATTTTTTGTCAGTATTCTTTATACTTGAGCACGAAAGGATATGAAATTCTTGAATCACATTTCCCTTTTTGTACAATCTTTTTTTTTTTTTTTTAAATACTTGGAGTTGAACCTGGGCCCTTTGAAATTTTATTTTATTTTATTTTGTATTTTGGAATGGTTTTGCTAAGTGGCTAAATTGCAGGCTAGATTTGAGTTTGCAGTTCTCCCGCCTCAGCCTCTGCACGCTGGACGGGATTACAGGTGCTCTCTTGAAAATGTCCCATTAACATAATGTGCAGCTTTGGAGAAATCTGATGTCAAGCTCATTCTCTCTCCCTTATAAATGACTAGTACTTTTTCTTTTGTTTCATTTTGTTTTTTGAGGCAGGGGCTCGCATATACTTTGGGGTGGCCTTGAACTCACTGTGTAACCCAGGCTGTCCTCCAGCTCACTGTGATCCTCCTGCCTCAGCCTCCCAAGTGTTGGGATTACAGGCATGAACCACCACACACACTAGACTAGTACTTTTTATCTGGATACATAAAGAATTTTTCTTTACCTTTAAAATCCAACCATTTTCCTGAAAAACGCCTTGGTTTGACTATGTTGGTTTTTCCTGGTTGGTTTTTTCCTTATCCATTTCAGTGTAGAGTCACAGAACTCAAGATTTTTTGGTTTTGTTTTTAGAGCTGAGGTCTGGCTTTGTTGTCCAAATATTATATAAAAATGTACCAGAAACTCCCAATTCTTGGGCTTTAGCATCCCACGTACCTGTGACTACAAGAAATGGCTTCTGCATCAATCTTTTTTAATTTCTGCAAAACTTTTTTTTTTTTGTACCAGTCATTGAACTGGTGACCTCGCGCTTGCCAAGCAGGCGCTTATGCTGCTGAGCTAAATCCCCAGCTCAAATTTCCCCAAAATTTTTGAAAAATAATTTGTTAAATATTTGTTTTAATGCTTTGCGTTAGTTTTCTTTGGAGTACGGAATGTGTATGTAAATTCTCTCATTTGTTTTTTATATTTACAAAGCTTTTGTCTTTCGTTACTTCTTTTTTAAGTCTCTGGGAGGCTGAGGCAGGAAGATAGAGCTGGAGTTTAAAGCCAATCTGGGTTAGGAGAGTACATGTTTCAATAAAAGGAAGGTAAGGGGCCAGGGATTTAGCTCAGTGGCATAAGCAAGCACCTCTGCCTAGCAAGCACAAGGTCATGAGTTTGATACCTGGTACCACACACACACACAAAAAAAAGGAAGGTGGAGAGGGGAAGTAAAAGTAAAAAGAATTAAGGTATGTTATAAACATATACCAACGCCTCACAATGAATGAAATCATGTGCTACAAGCATGGACCAATTAAGAGTTAAAAAATGAATACGAAAAATCTTTCATCTCATAAAAGTTTAAATATTTCTCCCTGAATTGAGTTCTCTTCATGTCCAACTGTTTTGTCTATACTGGAGTTCACTATTCCTGACTTACGCTGCTAACAGCATTCCTGTTTTCCTGCATTTTAAAGTACGCATAAGGTTTACTTCTACATTTGCTTTGTAACCCTGTTTTGTAGCATTTTCTGGTCCTCTGTAGGAACATCATTAGGTTTACTGTCATCTTTCTGCTTCTGTACTAACACGTATGAGGCTAGATCACAATTATTTATTCCCAACCCCTAGAACGCGGTGAACTTTGCTGAGCAGCCAGGCTCGCGCACTTCCCATAAGTGAGATCTAGACTTTAGAACTTCATGGCGGGCCCCGCCCCCACGTTTACCGCCGACCTGAGCCCCGCCCACTGCCCTGCGCCGCTCAAGGTGCGGGCCCCGCCCCCGCCTCGCGCTAGTCCCGCTGGCCACGCCCTCCCTTGCCTATCCCGGGGCGCTGGGCGGAGTATTTATTTTCCCGCCATTCCTTCTCTTCTTGAGGAAAACTGGATGTTTAGGTGAGGTCTGAAGTATTTTGGGACTCTAGTGGCCACCCTGGTAGGGAAGGTAGCTAGGAAATGGGAAATTTGAACTGCTGATTATCTTCATCCCTTTAACTGAGGCGAGTTTTGCCCTCGCTTGGCAGGCGATGCCGCCCCTCCGCCTGTGCTTAAACTGCGATTCCTGCCCTCAGCGAGTCGGGGGTTCTCCAGACTTCCGACGCCCTGGTGGGAAGTTGGTGCATCCTGGGCAGCACACACAGATCAGAAGCTCCTGGCCGTGTGGGTTGTCTTTGTGTCAAAACTGTTTATTCTGTAACTGTTTTTGGTCTTTTGAAAAGGGCCTCGCTATGCAGTTCAGGCAGGCCTTGGGCTCCCTTTTGTAGCCCAGGCTGGTCTCGAACTTGCAATCATCCTCTTGCCTCGGCCTCCCGAGTGCTGGGATTAGCTACGTGTGCCACCATGCTCAGCAACTACTGAGTAATTTTTACTGTAAATCTTGCCTTTTGTGACAAAATCATTAAAGTGGTGAAGAGTAGACTGCATTAATTTAGCAAACCTCTTCACAATACAGTTTTTGGGGGGACTTGAGGATCCTTGCCTACCATGTGGGAAAAAATTTTTTAAAAGACTTAGTAGGGGAAAAGTTACCTTCTGTTTTATTTTTCCAATTAACGTTGAAGGAAATCAGATGAATGACTATTATATCCTTAGACAGCATAGTCATTAAGCATACTATAGCTCACTTACATATTTTTATATCAATTTATTTGTTTAAAAATCCACAGTAATGTTTACTTACTTAAGTACTTAATAAGTTATATGAAATTGGTGTTGGCAGAATATATACGATGTATGGTTGTCCATGTCTAACATAAAGGCTATTTAATGGGAGAGGAAGGACTTTACAATGGGAGTCATGAGACTGGGATTCTAATCCCAGAATTATCACTATCCGTGGAATTTTGATGCTCTTTAAGAGACATTCAGATACATCTTTTAAAGAAATAATACTGGACAAAAGGAAACGATTTTCAAATACATCAAACCAAAATACCTGTTTGAAGCCAGAGATTTAGCTTAGCAGCATACGTGCCTACCTTGCAGGCACGCAGTTGTGAGTTCGATCCCCAGTACAAAAAAAAATAAAAATAAAAATAAACACAAAGTACCTGTTTCAGTACAGTGCTTTGCACAAAAATGGTTCTGGTTTGCACTTGTACTGCAAGTGACAACACACTGCCATTTGTAATTCTATCACTTTTTTCTTTCTTGTTATATTTAATAGGAAGACAATTTGCCAATTTATAAATTTCTTCCTTGAATCACATTACTACTTTGAGAAAAATACTAAAGTAAATGATTGATAAAGCTTTAACATAAACACATACTTTAGCACCCACCAAAGTAAATGATTTTCAAGGTCCATCCCAGATGTATGATTTTGAGTTTCTGCAGAATTGATGTATAAGCTGAGACCATATTATCATTGACCAAACCCTATTTTCTTTACGTAAAATTTCTGGTTCACTGACTCCTTTCTTCTACTCTTGATGTATTACAGAAAACTTAAGAACAAGTTTGTTTTTCTAATTACAAATTGGTACCTGAATTAAACCAGAAAATTTGGAAAATTAAAAAAGTAAAAGCAACACAACTAAATCTTTTTAAAAAGTTTCAACAGTCTATGTATCTATAGAGATATATATGTATATATATGTAGATGTAAATATATAGAGACATATAGTATATATGTATTCTGTGCCATATACAGTGGTTCCTCGGTTCATGAACACTTGTTTGCAAATAATTTGGTTTGCAAGCATAACATCTGGCAAAATATTTTGTTTGTAAATTATATCAAGTAACAAACACAGCCATGGCCATCTTTCCCATACAAACATAAATGTGGCCATCTTTTCCAAAACTAGAACAAATTAAGTTCATGAACTGAGATATATAGATATATAGATATTGCCATATACTTGTGCATATTATATATATTAGCATAGCATACTGAAGTCTACTTTTTCTCATTTTATGTGTACTTCTATACAACTAATTGGAATGTTCACAATGATGTGCCCACATCCCAATAAAATATCAGAAACTAAGCAAACAATTTTATATAGATTTTTGAACAGCTATAATTATATGATGCCTGCCTCATTCTTACTCATTCTCTTTTATCTGTTCCAGAATGGATTGGTTTCACTGCAACCAGTGTTTTCAAAAAGATGGGACCCATTTCTTTGTCACCAGCTGTGGCCATATTTTCTGTAAAAAATGTGTGACTATGGGTGGGTAATTTGTTTTCAGATTCAGTCAAAGATGTTTTTTTTGGTTTTTTTTCCACGCACAACTTATGAGGATAGTCAAAAATGTTTGTAACCTAGATTCAGCTTTTAACCATTTCTCTGACTTAGGAAAAAAATCACATGGTAGGCCAGTAGTAGTGTGGCTACCTTGGAAAACTATCAATTTTGGAAACTGGAATCCATTAATAAAAAACAGTGTTAAATGATTTAGCAAATCTGTTACTTGAATACCAAAAGGTACTCATCAGTATTTTTAAGTCTGTGGTACAAAAGGCCATGATGGGTCAGAAGTGATGATGGTGGCATAATGATGATGGTGTCACAAGCCTGTAATTCCAGCCCTTTAGGAGGATGAGGCAGTAGGATCACTGTGAGTTCAAGGCCAGTCTGGCCTACATAATGAATTAAAGGCCAACCTGAACTAAATAGTGAGACCGTGTCTCAAGAAAACAAAACAAATAAAATTCACACACACACACAAAAGTATTTTTGCTTGTACCAAGCCCTAGGTGGTAATTATTAGTGTAGCTATTTTAAAAATGTGGAAACTAACTCAGAGAAGCACTAATGTGACCAAACTCTTGTAACTATTCAGCCTTAGAAGACTTGGGGGCTGGGGATTTAGCTCAGCAGCATAAGTGCCTTCCTTGCAAGTGTGTGGTTGTGAGTTCGATCCCTGGTACCGAAAAAGACAAAAAGAAGACTTGAGTTTAAGATTGGTTTCATTTTGTTTGTGGTGCTGGGATGCCAGGCATGAGGGTACATGATTGTAACCTCAGCACTTGGGTGGCTGAAGCAGGAAGATCTGGAGTTGGAGGCCAGCCTGGACTATATAGAGAGTTCAGAGAAAACAGAAATACAAGGGCCTGGAGAGTAGATATGGTGTTATGTACCTATACTCTAGCTACTTAGGAGGCTCAGGTAGGAGAGTTCAGGGCCAGGTTGGGCAATATAGTGAGACCCTGTTTAAAAAAACAAAATGAAATAAAACAAAAAAAATCAAACAAAAAACACCTAGGAAGCTAGGCATTGTTGTACGCCTATTATCCCAGTACCCTGGAAGCTGAAGCAAGATTATGGCCACAGTTTTAGACCACCCTAGGCTACATAGTGAGTTCAAGCCTAGATGCTGGGGATATAGCTTAGCAGCACAACAGTTGGCAAGTGTGAGATCCTAAGTTCGATTCCCAGTTACAAAAGCAAAAACACACCAGCCTGCAACTGCGGGGTCCGGTCTCAAAAGCAAAACAAATCCCAAGGTATGTAGTTATGCAAATTCCCAGAAAACTCAGGGTACTATGCTTTGGTAAGGGAATATTTCACAGAAGAGGTGCCATTGGAATATTGTTTTGGATAATAAAGTAGAGTTTGCCAAATGAATAAGGCAGGGAAGACGATTCCAGTTTCAGACAACAGCGTGTATAAAAACATATGCTATTATGAAACCATGGGAGAGATGGGCACAGTGGCGTACTCCTATAATCCTAGCACTCAAGAGGCTGAGGCAGACGGATCCCAAATTCAAGCCTAGCGTGGGCAATTTAGCTACTTAGCAAAACCCTGTCTCAAAAAAGGGTTAGAGTAGCTCAGTGCTAAGCCGTGGGTTTAGTCATACTACAGCATAACAAAATCAAACTGCAGTGCATAGTTGAGATTGTTAAATATAAAGAGTAAAGAAATAGTAAAAGGTGAGGCTAAAGAAGTAGGCAGTAGCACTAGACTAAAGATCCTAAACTTTATCCTGTAGGGAATCAAGATCGGTGGAAGTTTGTTGTTGTTTTTCTTAAATAAATTAATTGTACTTGCTAGCTCACACTGGGAGCAATATGGAACTGACTGGGAAAAACCTTTACTCCTCAAAGAAAAACATATAGTTTAGCTAGCTTCTGTAGAAGCTTTTTTCCTCTGTGTCTATCTCATGACTCTTTTAAATTATCTGCTAATGTAATAAAGCATTTCACTATGGTAACAGCAGCTCACCTTTTTTTTTTTTTTTTTTTTTTTTGGTGTTTTTGAAACAGGGTCTCACTGTATAGTTTAGTTTGGTCTCGAATTTGCAATGATCCTCCTGCTTCAGCTTCCCAAGTGCTGGGATTACAACAGGCAAGCACCACCACGCCTAGTTCAGCAACTCACTTTTTTTTTTGGTACTAGGGATTGCCTCCCACTTACCAGGCAAGTGCTTGAGTGCTGAGCTAAATCCCCAGCCCAGCAGCAGCTCACTTTTAAGTGCTGTGTCTCTGTGAAGCATAAGTTATATGATATTTTCCCCTTCCATGGCATGTGTCTTCGTCAGTAACCAGCACTACTACTAAAATTTCCTTGACAAGGAAAGATGAGGAATTTTATGTTTGCTCCTTTGAGACTGGAGTAACTGGAAACTAAGAGCATTTAGTCAAGGTCTAAGAATATTAATAAAGTGAGAAGAGGAAGGAATAACTGCTGAATTTCTTATAATTCACCAGTGTGTGCTTGCTGACATGTAGCTAAGATTTAAAAACAGTGATTTAAAGTTAACATTACTGTGATGTAGAGGATGAGGGAAGAAGAAAGGAAGAACTTGAATAGTTCAGAAAGAAAGAAAGAAAAAAGAGATAAGAGATAGGACTTTGGTGATGGTACTCAAAACTTCAACCAGAGCAACCAGGCAAGAGAAATAAAAGAGATACAAATAGGAAAGGAAGAAGTCAAACTATTGTTACTTGGAGATGATGTGATTTTTTTTACATAGAACACCCCAAAAAACTTCACCAGAAGACTCTTGGAACACCTTAGAACAATAAACATAGGTATGCTGGTGCATTCCTCTGATCTCAGCCCTCTGGGAGGCCGAAGTAAGAGGAATGCAAATTCAGGCCCCACCTCAGCAAGTAAGAGACTTAGTGAGACCTTGTTTCAAAATTTAAAAAAAAAATTGCTTTTAAAAGCTAGTGATGTAGTTCAGTGCAAAAGCCTTGGGAATTCCCCAGTACTACCAAAACAACAATTACAACTAAACCTTTAAAATGAAACAAATAGGGGCTGGGGATTTAGCTCAGCGGCATAAACGCCTGCCTTGCAAGCAGGCAGTCGTGGGTTCGATCCCTGGTACCGATAAAAAAACGAAAAAGACAAAAAAAAAAAAAAAAAAAAAAAAAGAAACAAATAAAACACAGAATCCTAATAAATTCAGTATATGGAAGGGCATAAAATCAATAGGATTCTTGTGTACCAGTAATGAAATCACCAAGAAAGAAATAGAAGTGTCTCATTCATGGTAGCTTAAAAAAATTAAATATTTGGGAATTAACCTAACCAAGGAAGTGAAAGAACCCTATAATGAAAACTATAGTACTCTGAAGAATAATTGAAGAGAACATTAGAAAATAGACATCCTTGTTCTTGGGAAGACAAACTGAAATTTTAGAATTGGCCATATTACTAAAAATGATAAGTAGATTTAATGCAATTCCAATAAAAATACCTACAGTATTTATCACAGAACTAGAAATAAATTGTAAAATTTACGTAGAACTGGAAGAGACACAGAATAGCCCAATCAGTCCTGAGGAAAAAAGCAAAGTAGGAGGCATTATAATCCCAGATTTGAAGTTACATTGCAAAGCTACAGAAATAAAAATAGCATGGGAATAAAATTTTTAAATATGTTATGCTGATCGATAGAATAGAATTGAGAATGCAGAAACAACTCTATATACTTTCAGGCATCTCATCTTTGACAGAGGTCCTGAAACCTATGCTGGAGAAAATAAAACCTCTTTAAGAAATGGTACTGGTTCTCCAATGCAGAAGAATGAATCTATACTCATTTCTCTCACATTGTGCTAAAATCAAAATGGATCATAGCTTAGATATAAAAATAAATGCTAAATCTGTTGGAAGATAAAATAAGAACAGCCAAGCATGGTGGCACATGCCTGTAATTCTAGCACTCCGGAGGTTGAAGCAGGATTGTTGCGAGTTCAAGACCAGCCTGGGTTACAAAGTGAGCTCAAGGCCAGCCTGAACTGCATAGAAGACCATGTCTCAAAAAGACAAAAATAAATAAATAAATAAAACTCTTGGAGACATAGCCATAAACTTTCTGAACAAACCCAAGTTGCACAAGAAATAACCAAGAATCAACCAATGGGATTATATCAAATTTGAAAGCTGCTATACAACAATGAAACAGTGAATAGAGTAAAAAGACAATCTACAGTATGGGACAAATATTTGCCGGTTACTCCTTAGAGGACTAGTATCCAGGATATAGAAAGAACTAAAAAAATTAGAACCTTCCCAAATAAAAGACCTGGTCAAAAATGAGTATCATAATTACTTTCCCAACACCCACAATTTAAAGGAGGAAAAGTTTATTTTGGCTCACAGTAGTTAAGAGGCGTTAGTTCACAGTCTGCGTGCTTCAAGGCAGGGCAGCATGCAGGAGACAGATTGCTTGTGGCATGGCAGGTAGGAAGAGAGAAGGATCAAGTGAGAAGAAGAGACAGACCTTTCTAAATCACACCCTTCGTGACCCACTTCCTCTAACCAGATTTACGCCCCAAGTCACACTGAGCTATAAACTCACTGTTGAACTAATCAACTGATGAGTATCATACTCATGATTCATCACCTCCCCAAATCCCCACTTACGAGTGCATGAGGCTTTGGGGAACACCTAGGTAGAAACCATAACAATGAGTAATTCAAATGAGTAGGCACTTCTCAAAAAAAAAAATGTGCAAATGACAAATAAGTACATGAAATAATGTTCAGCATCTTCAGCCATTACAGAAATGCAAATCAAAACAACTCTTAAAATTCCATCTTACTCCAGTGAGAATAACGTTATCAAAGACTCAAAAAAAATTTTTTTGGCAAGGTTGTAAGGAAAAAGAGAGCTTCCTACATTGTTACTAGGAATATAAATTAGGACAACCAACATGGAAACTGGAACCCTCAAAAAACTAAAAATAGAAATTGCATTTGACCTAGATATTCGTCTTCTAAGTATCTTTCTAAAACAGTTAAAGTCATCACATTACAATGTGTGCATACCCATGTTTGCAGCAGCGTAATTCACACTAGCTAAATTATGGAAATAACTTGTATGCCCATCAACAAATGAGTAAAAGAAAGTATGAGTCGAATGTGGTAGTGCATGCCTGTAATTGTAGCACTTGGGAGGCTGAGGCAGGAGGATCTCTTTGAGTTCAAGGCTAGCTTTGGCTACATTGTAAGTTCAAAACTAGCCAAAATTACCTAACAAGACCCTGTCTTTGAGGCTGGGGATTTTACTCAGTGGCATAAGCGCCTGCCTTGCAAGTGTGCAGTCGTGAGTTCGATCCCTGGTACTGATAAAAAAGAAAAAGACAAAAAAAAAAAAAAAAAAAGACCCTGTGTGAGGGGGATATATGTACAATGGAGTACTACCTAGCTGTAAAGAAGGACAAATTTGAATCATTTGTAGGAAAATGGGTGGATTTTGAAATCATAATGTCTAGTGAAATAAATCAGACACAGGAGGAAAAATGCTGCATAGTTTCTCTTACATGAGAAACCTAGAATGTAAATAATTTTTTTCAGAATGTAAATAGTTTCAAAAGCAAAATAGAAGAGAGGTGGTAGGAAACTGGTAGATTTTGTGGAGATGAGAAGAGAATGTAGGAAAGAGGGAAAAGGAGAGGGGAGGAGAGGAAGTAAAAATGATCAAGATGCAACATACAATATGCATACTAATTCCCCATGATTGTGATTACTATGCACTGTAAAGAGCATCAAAAAAAATCACTGATTCTCTTGTACCTTTACCAGTAGCTTTGTAAATGTACTCCAGCACTCCTGTTGGGTGTTTAGAATTGTCCCTCCCGACTCATAAAAGAAACCCAGAAATTCTTTTAAAAAGATGGAAGCCGGGCCTTGTGGCTCATGCCTGTAATCCCAGCACTCATGAGGCCAAGGAAGGAGGATCGAGGATCATTGAGAGTTCGAGACCAGCCTGGGCTACAATGTAAATTGAAGGCCAGTTTGATCTGTATAGTGAAACCCTGTCTCAAATAGATAAATAAGTAGACAGGGAGTTTAAGGCCGGGGATTTAGCTCAAGAGCACAATCCTTGCCTGGCAAGGAGAGGTCATGAGTTCAATACGTGGTACCAAAAAGAAAAAGATGAGTTGATGTAAAGTGTGAAATCCTTACTTATACTTCAACCTAGTAGTTTGAAACTGATTTAGAGACCAGAGTCTAAGTTGATGTTCTTTTATAACAATAATATTCTAACTTTAGGAAAAATCCTTTTTTTCCCTTCCTGTCTACTTGACTATTACTGTGTACTTTAGGAAAATTTTAATCTTACACTGAAGAAAACCAAACTTTTTTTACTCTTCTCCCAGAAAAATGTACCATTTGTGGAACTCCTTGCAAGCATCTGGCTCTATCTGACAATGTAAGTTTTCCCCTTACCAATTTTATCTCATTCCTGGCCTGTAGGAAACATACACAAATTATATATGATGTTTTTTTTTAAAAGATATTGTAGAATATATCTATAATCCCAGCATTTTGAGGCTGAAATATGATGATTGAAATCCATGTTTGCAGCAGCATAATTCACACAAGATAAATTATGCAAATAACTTGTATGCCCATCAATGGATGAATGGGTAAAAGAACGTGTGAGCTAGGCTGGGGATTTAGCTCACTGGAGTAAGCACCTGCCTGGCAAGTATGAGGTTGTGAATTTGATCTCTGGTACAAAAGAAAAGAAAAGAAACTGTGAGCCAGATGTGGTAGCACGTGCCTGTAATCCCAGAACTCGGAAGGCTGAGCAGGGAGGATCCCTGCAAGTTTTTGTAGCCAGCCTGGGCTACAAAGCTCAAGCAACTTAGTGAAACCCTATCTCAAAGAACAAATAAATAAAATAAATTTTAAAAGAGTTGGGGATATAGTGTGAAGGCCCTGAGTTCAATCCTTAGAACCTGTATGATGATGATGATGATGATGATAGTTTAAAAAAAAGAAACAGAGGGGTGGGGGTTTAAAAAAAAAATTGCAGGTAGTGATTGTAGAAAGAAAATTAATCTTATTTCATTTTAGTATCACTATTTTATTTCATTTCACTGTAGACATTTTCACTGTGTATCTTAATTCTCTTTGTAGTTGAAACCTCAGGAAAAGATGTTCTTCAAAAGCCCTGTGGAGACAGCTTTGCAGTATTTCAGTCATATCTCTCAGGTATGTGAAACAAAAGTTAAAGAAATATGACTTTACAAGCAAATTCTAGTTGTATCTTATTCCTTTATCAAAAGTTTCTTTAGGCTGTGTTTGTACATAAGTGAGAGAAACTACTCTTATTTCCCTTCTTCCTTGATGATGCCAGTCTCAACCAGTTAATTATGTAGTTAAACTTCATCGAGTACTTCTCAGTTGCAGTGATAATTAACAACTAAAGGATGGCCTAAGGAGCTTTATCATCTTTCTCTGCACCCTCTGAGTATTACCTGCAGATTGCATGACCCTGCAAACACTGGATGTGGTATTTTAACTCTTAATCTTTTGCTTACAGATTCAAGTTCATTAAAGTATGTCTTCTTCTTCTTCTCCTCCTCCTTCTTTTTGAGGCAAGGTCTTACTACATAGTACAGACTAGCCTTGAACTCAAGGTGATCCTCCTGCCTAGCCTCCAGAGTGCTGAGATTGCAGGTGTGTGCAACCATGCCTCACATTTGTTCTTCATTTTTTTTTATTTTCAAGTTTTACTTTGTAGTGATTTTATTTTATTTATTTTTTGGTATCGGGGATGGAACTTATGAACTCGCACTCACCAGGCAGGCGCTTGTGTTGCTGAGCTAAATCCTGGGTTCCAGTACTGTTTAACTCTTAGAATTCACAACTGGTTGCCTAAATTTTACACAGTATTTGTATTTTCCTGATGACTCACATATTGGTAAACCTTTGAGTTGGCAGGAACAGTAGGAATGCAGAAGTAGAGAGAAGGCAGAGCAATCATGTGAAAGAATTCCTACCTTGTAAACACTTTTGTTTTTTCTTTCCATTCTCTAGTTCTCTGCTGAAATTATTTTATAGCCTCCTGAGATTCCTATCTTGGCATATGTCTTGAGCTTTTATTACTTATTTTTTTCCTTACTCTTCCTCTCCATTTTGTTTTCAATGCTGTGGTCAAACCCAGGGCATTGAACATGCTAAACCAGCCCTCTACCACTGAACTACATCCCAGTAGTTCTTATTTTTTATGAGTGTACCTTTTCCAAACAGAAAAATGATACTTAGTCATTTTCTCATTGATGATAGCAGATTGATCTATCTACTGATCTGTCTATCTTTATCTATCTATCTATCTATCTATCTATCTATCTATCTATCTATCTATTTTCCCCTCTAGACCTTAACCCTGGAGTTAGAATAAGGGTAATTAAAGGTTAGGCTGCATCTTGTCTTTAGCTGCTTAAGTGAGCCATCATATTTGAGATACTATCTATGTTCAACATTTTGAAAAGATAAAATCCAGCTGATACTCAAAGAGAAATATTTTAAAAGATCACATGAACAAGAGAAAGAGCAGGTCTCTGGTTAATAACTAAACACAGAGTTAGTTAATGATCAGTAGAAAAATCATATGTAGTCTGAATCTTAACCTGCCTAATCATGGGACGAATTACATATGGTCAAGTAGTCAAGATAAAATAAATAGAAATGTTTAGTTAACCATCACTTTAGTGAAAGGCCAGTTTGGTGAAGTCAGCAAAGTCAGAAAATGTGTTTTCCTAATCTGTGAAGCTGAATAACTGATGTGCCTAATACGTAGGTTGCTTCATTCAGCTCAAAACTTCCTTTCTCTGTCAAACGTTTACTAACTCTGATATCTCAAAAGTAGGCCCAACATTCTTTACTCCTTCCCCTACCTTATTTCTTATCATAGCTCTCAGCCCTTAATATTATATTATGTATGTGCTTATTGTCTGAATCCTATAATACAGTTTTATTTATTGGTCTCTTTGAATACTTCCTATATATCAGTTTTTAACAGACTATGTGGGACATAGAAAGATTTAATAAATATTGGAAAAAACAAGTATAATAGTCTTCTCTATTGAAATATTCCTTTAAGGTATATGAAATATAATAAAGTGGAAATACTGAGAAAATTATTAGAGTAAAAATATCAAGACCAAATCTACCTGCTGGTGTATAGCTTCGTTCTCTGAACCAGTCTTTCACATGTGTTGTAGTCAGGGGTTGCAAGGAGAACAATTTACATACAAAACACAGAATTTATAATATTATTTTATAATGGTCACCCAGAGTTAAATACAAGAAAGTGCAGGAAATCTTCCACAACACTAAAGGCCTAGAAAAATGTAGCCAAGTGCCTGGATCTCACAGCAGTGTCCTGAATGAGTCCAGCTAAAAACCTAGAGCCCATGACAATGCCTCCCACAAATCAAACCAGGAGTTTAAAACTCACAGCAATGACTCATGCCAGTCTGTTTCGTGGATCTAAGCTGGGAAGGCCCAAAGGTCAGTAGTGGAAGCTAGGAAGTCTATGCCAGTGGGGTGAAGGATCTATGCTAGTAGGTTGAGGGTTCTACATTGGAGTAGAGAAGTCACACTCAAAATAAGGACCAGGGCTGCCTTGAAAAGTACCACAGCCATCCTTACTGACAATGAAGTCCTGATCTCCTCCGACAATGAGAACAGTGGAGTACAAGTCAGGAAGCCAGCATGACAAGTTTCTTCAAAAGATTAAACAGCGAACATCTTCCCCTCCAGAGCCAGGAAGTGACGCTCAATGTAAGGACCAGAGCTTCCCCAAAGTGAATCACAGCCACTCTCAGCGACAAGGTCCTGAGCTCCTCCGATGATAATGGCTGAATTAATATCAGGAAAGCTAGCCATGACCAACTCCTCCAGGAGAACCAGTGGCTCCAAACAGCAACACTTAGGAGAACCCACAACACCTCACTCTTCCTCTCCATGTCTCCTTTTATGCTGGCAACTTTCCTTAGGTGGGCCATCTACATTCAGCACCATGCTGATTTAATTCAGCTGATATTAAATTGACCACCAGTTTTTAATCAATCCATATGTAATACTCATTCGACTTCTTGTACAGATCCAATTAGGTAATGTTTTTTAAAGTATTCTCCAAACTGTGCCTTACTGGTTTAAAAAATTATGTGAGAAATTCATAGAAGACTATGAAAGATCACAAACTCACAAGAAAATTAAAGGACTCTACAAGTAAAAAAGAAATATGTAATTTTTATTGTTTTCAAAAGGAAGTACAGGCTGGGGATTTAGTGCAGCGGCAAAAGCACCTGCCTTGCAAGCACACAGTCATGAGTATGTAGCTCAGCAGCAAAAGTGCCCGCCTTACAAGCATGCAATCATGAGTTCGATCCCTGGTACAAACAACAAAAAAAAAGAAGTATAAAATGCCTCAGCTACTTTTAAAATAACAGTTTTATTAAGATAAACTTTAGAAGGTGGAACTGTAATCCCACACTCGGGAGGCTGAGGCAGGAGGATTGTCACAAATTAGAGACCAGCCTGGGCTACAAAGTGAGCCCAAGGCCAACCTGAACTGCATAGTGAGACCCTATCTCCAAGACAAAAAATAATAAGGTAAACTTTATACACCATAGAATTCACCCTTTTGAAGTATGCAGTTCAGTTTTTTTGTTTGTTTTGTTTGTACTGGGAATTAAACTCATGACCTTGTGTTTGTTAGGCAGGCATTTATGCTGCTAAGCTATATCCCTGGCCCACTAGTTTCTTAAAATGGTTTTTAAGAAACTTATTGAGTTTTGTAATCACTACTACCAATTTTGGAACATTTTTTTATTTGTGGTTCTTTGTTTTTGTTTTTGTTGTTATGTCATTTGTTTGTTTGTTTTATGTTTGGGGGACAAGGCCTTACTATGTGGTTCATGGTGGTCTTGAACTCACTTTGTTGTTGGACTCCGAGTTATCCTTCTGCCTCAGCCTTCTGAGTACTGGATTACAAGTGTGTGCCGCGAGGACTGGCCTTTGAGACATTTTTATCACCCCCAAAAGAGACCTTATGCTCATTAGCAGGCATTTCCAAAATCTTGCCCACTTTCCATAAACCCAGGCCATCACTAATTTACTTTCTAATCCTGTCCTATTCAGGACATTTCAAATGTCCTGTCCTGTCCTATTCAGGACATTTCATAAACATGGAATAGCACGACATGTGGTCTTTTGTGACTGGCTGTATTTTCCAAGCATAATGTTTTCAAGGTTCATCTGTGTTGTAGCATGTAGCTTCATTAGTATTTCATTCCTTTTGTGTGTGTGTTGAGACAGAGTCTATACTAAATAGTTCAGTTCAGGCTGGCTTTGACCACTATGTACTCCAGGCTGGGCTTGAACTCCCAGAGATCCTCCTGCCTCAGCCTTCTGGGTGCTGGGATTATAAGCATGTGCCAGTATGCTCACTTCTTTTTTTTTTCTTTGCACCAGAAATTGAACTCACAACCTCAAGCTTGTCTTTTTTTGTTTTGTTTTTTAGAGACAGCGTCTTGCTATGCAGTTCAAGCTGGGCTTGGGCTCATTCTGTAGCCCAGGCTGGTCTCAAACTTGCAATGATCATCCTGCCTCAGCCTCCATAGTGCTGAGATTACAGGAGTGTGCTACCACACCTGGCTGTCTTTAAAATGAAATTTATTTTATTTTATCTTTAAATGAAATTTATTTTAATTCAACTAAATTTGATACAAGTTTTTGTTTTGTTTTGTTTTGTTTTTGGTACTGGGGATCAAATTCATGACCTCACACTTGCTGGGCAGGTGCTGTGCCACTGAGCTCTATCCCCAACCCTTTTTTTTTTTTCAAAGAGAGTCTCATTTGTAGTCATGCTAACCTTGAACTCACTAGGTAGCCTAGGCTAGCTCTGAATTCATGATCCTCTTGCCTTAGCCTCCTGGGTGCTGGAAATACAGTTATATACCAACACACCCAGCTAATATACTAGTTTTTGTATGAGCATATACTTTCATTTCTCTTGGGTAAATATGTGGCTTGGAATCACTGGGTCAAATGATACCTCTATGTTTAACTTCTTTTTTATTTTTATTTTTTAAAATTTTTTTCAGGTACAGGTTCAGGGGATTGAACTCGTGACCTCACACTTGCCAGGCAGGCGCTTATGCTTCTTTTCTTTTTCTTTTCCATGCCAGGGATTGAACCCA